CTGGGGCCATGACCTAGTGGTAAAGAGTTTTTCTAGCAAGCATGAGGTTCTAGGCTCCATTCCAACACCACATAAAAATTAAAAGTCTGGTGAGATGGTTCAGCAGGTTAACACCTTGCAACCCTGACAACCTGAGTTCAATTCTTGGAACCCTCAGTAGACAGAGAAAGCTGACTTCCAAAGTAGTGTTCTGATTTCAGACCCATGATGTGATACTAGTGCCCACCTACATACACACACATACATACATACATACAAACAAACATACATACATACACACACATATACACAGAAATACACACACACATATACATTCAAACATATATACACACACATATGCATACACACACATACACACACAAATACACATACACACATATGCATATACATATACAGACATACATTATAATACAAACATGTACACACATAAATATACACATACACATTAATAATAGATAAATAAATAAATAATAAGAGAGTCCCCAGCCCAGCTGAGGAGCTATTCTTGGCTCCTGGGGAAGGAAGACTCAGTTTCCCTCCAGGATGTGGCTGCTGGTAGGTTGCCCATGGCTCCATCTCCACGAGCATACGAGCTATACTAACTGGATTCAGGAGATCATGAAGAGAACATGAGGCTGGGGGGAGGACCTGCTGTGAGGGGTCAGAGGAGGAGGAGGTGTCAGGAGTGAGTGCTGGGGTCGCTGTGATCAAGATACATTGCATACATGTAGGAAATTGTTGAAGCATAAATAAAAGGGTTGCTTTTATTTTTATTTTTATTTATTTATTTATTTATTTTTTAGGACAGAGTCCCACTATGCAGCCCAGATAGCTGAGAACTTACTATGTAGACCAGGCTGGTCTCAAACTCACAGAGCTCCACTTGCCTCTGCCTCCCATGTGCTGAGGTTAAAGGCGTGTGCTTCCACAGTCAACAGTAAAATGGATTCTTAGAGACTAGAGAGTTTGCTCAGAAGGTCGGTGTTCAGTTCCAAGAACCCTCATGGGAGCTCACAACCACCTGGAGAACTTCAAGCTACACGTACACATCAACTAGAGGCCCTAGTACTTGCAAACCAGGTCTGTCTGGTCTAATTTTCTTTCTATTGTGATAAAACACTGAGTCAAAGCAACTGAGGGGAGGAGAGGGTTTATTTAGCTCACAATTCCAGGTGACAGTCTGTAACACTGTGGGGAAGTCAAGGCAGGAAATTCAAACATCCCATCCACAGTCAAGAGCAGAGAGTGAACAAATGCACAAGTCTTTTGCTTGCTTCTTACACTCAGTTAACTTTCCCTGTTCCTATAGAGTTCAGTATCCCCTGCCTAGGGAATGGTGCCACCCACGGTGGGCTTGTTCTTCCTGTATCAACTAATAACCGAGACAACCCACTTCCCAGACATGTCCACATGCTCGTGTGACTTGGATAATTCCTCATTTGAGACTTCCTTCCCAGCTGATGCTATGTTGGGGCAGTTAAAACTGACCAGTACAAAAACAAACAAACAAAAAAAACCAAAAAACTAACCAGTACAACCACTCAAGCCTCCTAATGATGCAACACTTTAATACAGTTTTTCACATTGTGGTGACCCCCAACCATAAAATTATTTTCACTGTTACTTTTTTTTTTTTTGGTTTTTCGAGACAGGGTTTCTCTGTATAGTCCTGGCTGTCCTGGAACTCACTCTGTAGACCAGGCTGGCCTCGAACTCAGAAATCCGCCTGCCTCTGCCTCCCAAGTGCTGGGATTAAAGGCGTGCGCCACCACCGCCCGGCTCACTGCTACTTTTTAATGGTAATTTTGCTACTGTTATGAATCATAATGTAAGTACCTATGTTTTCTGATGTTCTCACCTGACCCACAGGTTAAGAACTGGTGCAGTACACCTTCCAATGTCCAGAAGTTTCTCTCTTTTCCCCTGCCAAAACCACTGTTTCCTCTTTCAGTGGAAAGATTCTGTAATCATGCCCATCTCTCTAAATAGCAGGCTGTCTGCTGTAACTTCTGTTTTAAATCTTAGGGGTATTTTTAACTGACACATAAGAATGGTTCACACTTCACTGATCCTCATTTTCTTAAGACTGACAAGAGCCATCCTTACAAATGGGGTACAGTTGATGGTGTGTACGGGACCCATATGTCTACAACGAGTGCTGTTCAAATCAGGGGGACTATTGTTTCTCTTCCTTGATAGAGCCATCTTTGTTGTTGTTGTTTTGGGGTTTTTGTGGAGGGAGTCTTTGAAGATCCCTCAAGTCTTCATGATAAAATACAGGGGCTTGGGACACAGCTCAGCTGGTAGAGTGCTCAGCTAGCATGCCCTGGAATCCACCCCAGCACTGCCGCCCTAGACATGCATGTAATCTCAGCACTGAGGAGGTAGAGGCAGGAGGATCACAAGTTCAAGGCTATCTTCAGATACACAGCAAGTCTAATGATGCCATTTCATTCATATATATATATATATATATATACATATATATATATATATATATATGAATACATGCACATTCCATCCTTCCCCCTCTCTGGGTATATGTATATGTTCATGTGACACGTACATGTGCATATGGGTCAGAGGTCAATGCCAAGTGCTTCCTCATCCCTCTCTGCCTTAGGTCTTGAGACAGGGTCTCTCACTGAACCCGGAGTCCACAGATTTAGCTAAGCTGTTGGTCAGCAAGCCCCAGGGATCCTCCTGCCTCCGCCTCGCCAGTGTTGGGATTGCAAGCATGCACCCCACAACCTGCATTTTTCACCTTGTTTCTGGGGGTTAACCTCAGGCCCTTTACTTACCTACTGAGATATTGCCTCAGTGCTTTGCTGTTATTCAGAGACAGGGTCTTGTTCTGTAGCCCAGGTTGGCTCACTTTGTAGCCTAGGCTGACCTGAACCTGACTCGCTGTCCATGCCTTGCTGCTCCTAACTTAATTTTCTAACAGGTCTGGGTATTTTTTTACTCAGTATTCATATTTTTATTTCCCCCAGAGCCTTTCTGCCCTGATGAATATTCATGTTCATATATGAATATTCATGTGCACACATTTGTCTCCACATGAATATCTGTAGAGATATGAATATTCATGGCCCTATATTCACTGGTAGTCTGAAGTGCCTTCTCCTATTTTGCAGATGACTGACCATCTTCTCCACGGAAAGTTCTGGATGCCTCTATCATGGAGACGTCAATATTGGCTACCAGTCTCAGGAGAGTAGGAAGAGGCTGGAGAGAAATCAGGGCTTTGGCCTGGAGCACAGACGTACTCAGCTTGTCCTCCAGTCTCAGCCTAAGGTTCACCTAGAACGTCCATCCTCCTGCCTCCACCTCCCAAGAGCTCAGACGACAGGCGTGTTGGCTTATGGGGTTCTGGGGATCAAACCCTGGGATTCTGTGCACACCAGGCAAGCACTCTGACAACTGAGCTACAGCCCCAGTCTGAAATTGTTGCTTTCTTAAAAAGTGTTATTGTTGGGCGTGGTGTCTGAGCGAGACCATCCTGGTGTGCACAGCAAGTCCCAGGCCAGCCAGGGTTGCACAGTGATACCCTGTCTAAAAAGAAAAAAAAAAATGGCTGAACTTAAATAACTCCGCACCCCCAAAAAGGCTTGGTCAAGGGCTCGGTCCCCAGCGGGGACACTACTGATTGGAGATTAGGTAAGGAAGGAAGGGTTCCTCCATGTCAGACCACCTTAGTTGAGTTCAGAGCTGGATGGCTGTCAGGAGGCGGGGCCTGGTCAGAGGAAGTAGTCGCTGCGGGTGTATCGACTTCGCCCCTGAGCTGTGCACTCAGCCTGCGCTCCACTCCTCCCCCTCCCCCTCCCTCTCTTTCTGGCAACCACAAGGTTATCAGCTTTCTCCCACCCATGCCCTTCGGCCCTGTTGTTTCCTGCTGACTACGGCCTAAAGCAATGGAACTGGCCAACTTTGAACTTACATAGTGCTTAAACGCATCTTTCTTTTCGCCTCAGGTATTACCACAGTCACAAATAAAACTGATGACACAGATGGGAACTGAGACCCAGAGAGGATAATACACACGCCCAGGGTCACACAGCAACAGGCTTCAGAGCCTGTGTTCTCTCCACTGTTATCCTATGTGGTACCAGCTTGGACGTTGTTCAAGTTCCCTTTTAGTCCTTTCTCTGCTCAGTCCCTGGGGTCCAGCTATTCACGAGGGAAAGAGGGGTAACGAGAGGTAGGGTACCCGGCCAGGGGCCACCCACACTTACCAGCACACGGTCTCCCAGGTGGAGGTCCTTGTCACCGCGCTTCACAGAACCACTGTCGGAGAGGTTGGAACCAGACTCATTGCCTGTCTTCACGGAGCTGTTAAGAACACTCTCCCGCAGGGGGATGACGCGGCCGGTGAGTGGGGGCGTGGCCGTGCCAGAATGCAGAGACAGGTTCTGGGCGGTGAGGGATTCCACCGAGTGGGCATCACTGCCCGAGCCCTCGGCCGTGGGCTGGCGGGTCAGCTTGGAGGGCCGCGTGAAGATGCCCTGTAGAGCCGGGCACTCGAAGTAGCGCACGCCACCCACAGCGCCATCGTTCTTGCCCACAGGGTCGTCCAGGACCACGCCGGCCCACTGGCCTGGCGCAAACTGTGTCTCACCCAGGTACTGCACCACGCCTGGCTTCACGCCATTCACCCACACCCTCTCGCCCACCACAAAGTCTCCCAGGAAGTCATCACCCACTTCAGCCGCCTTCGGACCTGGCTTCTCAGAGACGGTGGTGGTGGCTCCAGCCGAGGAGGGACCCGAGGCCTGCTTGTGCAGGGGAGACCCTGTGGATAAGTTAAGAGGCAGGAGTTAGGGCTAGCCTGAGAACTAGGGGATAGACAGCCTGAGCTGGAGGGTGTCGGCGATAGTTATCTTATTGGGGAAACTGAGGCAGGCATGCTCGGCATTATGACCTGTGAAAGGCTTATTCCCTCCAGAGAGTGAGCAACCCAAAGTCTTTCCTTATTCTTCTGGCACCCACCCAGGGGTGTCCAATGTTTGAGTTTCTTTGGGACACACTGCCATCGACAAAATCCAAACTGGGGAAGGGGGTGTGGGGGTGGGGTGGGGGGGTGTTGGGAGTGTGGCTGACAGGGTAGAACACTGCATGAGGCACAAACAATGGTCTGGTGAGGTGGCTCAGTGGGTAAAGAAACTAATGACTTGAATTCAATCCCCGGGACACATGTTGGAAAGACTCAACCTCCACAGGCTGTCCTCTGATCTCCAGTGACCTCCAGATGCGTGTGTCACAGAATGAACATCACCCCCCATAAAAAATAAACGGATACAAAACAATTCTGTAAAGTGTGCTCTGCAGGCCTAAGCAGCTATGGGCAGTGACTCTAAAGCCCTTACTGGTGGCCGACCCCACCTTGACCCCACCATCGAGGACCCCATTCTGTCTCTTTGCATAAAGAACAAAAAGGGGGTTCTGGGGCTGTGAGGACCCGGTGTGCCTATTCTTAGAAGAAAGCTACCAGCTCAGCTGTCCCTGCCCTCAGCTGTCCCAGTCCACAGGACCCCCAGATAATCTCTCCCGACCCCCGCCTCTCTTAAGGGTCACAGGTCCCTCCAACCAATTGCTTTGACAGCTGCTACAACTCAGGTCTCAAGTCTGTGATGTCAACAAAGCCGCCCTGATTTATTTTTCCTTTTAGCCATCCCCCCTGCTGCCCTGGTCCTCCCAGCTGCCCCTGCCTCGCAGAGATCAAACTCTTTTTAAATTCCCCACAGAGACAGGCAGGGAGATTTCAGCTGCCTGGGGATGGGAGAGCACAGGATGGCCCTAACATAGCACCCTATCCCCCAGCAGAGCTATTTGTAACACACTGGACTGGCTTGGCTAAACCCCTTCTCTAGTGCCTCAGTTTCCCCATGAAACTAGATAAGATGTATATGTAATATATATGTAATATGTACATATATATATACACATATACACACATATGTATATACACACATATACATATGTATATACACACATATTCTGGGTTCTGATTTTTAATTTTTTTTCAAGACAGGGTTTCTCCAGATAGCCATGGCTACCTTGGAACTGGCTTTATAGACCAGGCTGGACTTGAACTCACAGGTTCACCTGCCTCTGCCTCCCGAATACTGGGAAGATAAAGACAATCAAAAGTAAAGGGTCATCCTCAGTTATGCACAGAGTCTAGAGCCAGCCTGGACTACATGAGAACCTGTCTCAAAAAAATTTTTTTTTAAATAGGTTTCAAGTTCAAACTAAACCTAATATGTTAGGGCACGCCTTTAATCTTTAATTCTAGTACACAGGAGACAGGCTAGACCAATTCAAGGGCAGCCAGGTCTACATACTGAGTTCCAGGCTAATCGGGACTACACAGTAAGACCGTCTCCAAGTGGAGCTTTGATGCGAAGGACTGAGGCCGAAGTGAGGGGAGACAGCTGGGAGGAGTCTGGTTCGACAGCAGGTATAGGGCTCACTGTGGGGACCCAGATGGCACTGTCCCCTGCATGAGAGGACTCGAGACTTGCCTTGTCTTGGGCAGGGGACAAGCCTTCTCTTTTTTCTGTGTGTGTGTGTGTACACGTTCACACATGCGCCATACACGCATATGCCATGTGTCTGCAGGTACTAGTGGAGGCCAGAAGAGGGTGTGAAGTCTTCGGAGCTTCCTCTAGGTGGTTGTGAGCTGCCAACTGTGCTGGGGCGCTAGGAAATGAACCCTGCAAGGGCAGCCGCACTGAATCTTCTTTTTCTTTCCTTTTTGAGTACACTGTTGCTTTCTTCAGACACACCAGAAGAGGGCATTGGACCCCATGACAGATGGTTGTGAGCCACCACGTGGTTGCTGGGAATTGAACTCAGGACCTCTGGAAGAGCAGTCAGTGCTCTTAACCGCTGAGCCACCTCTCCAGTCCAGCACTGAACCTTCTGTGCAGCCCTTACCCTTGCTGTCTCACACAGCTCTCACTGGGCTTGCCAGTCATCTGTCTCCCTCACGATAGGACTGCAGTGGTTGGAAACCACCTCACCCAACACCTGATCCTTTGTTTGTTTTTTTTTTTTTAAGTGTCTTGCATAACCTAGGCTAGCCTTGAATTTGCTATGGAGCCAAGGATAACCTTGAACTTCGGATCTTTTTTTGCCTCTCCCACTGAAGTGCTGTGATATCAGGCTAGGACCACCATGCTTATGTAAGGCTAGAGATGAAGCCATGGCTTTCTGCACGCTAGGTCAACAGAGCCACATCCCAGTTCCAGCCACAACCTGTTTTGTTTTGTTTTAACTTAAGGTTTTGGGGCTTGAATGCAGGTTCCCCATTCTTGCAAGGTAAGCCGTTTATGGTCTGAACTATTTGCCCAGCCCTGGCAGGCTTTTCCTTACCTGCCAAGACTCAGCCAGGAGGAACCCCAGCTCAATGGGCAACTACTTTCTGGGCAACCCTGCGGTCACAAGGATGCCACAAGGGAGGACAAGCAAGGGCCAGCATGGGGTGGGGGAGGGGCAGCACACACAAGAAGAGAAGTTATAATTCAGCCAGTTGAGCATTCTGGAACAGAAGGAAGGAAGGGAGCAAGGGCCGTGTGCGCACTAGAGGGAAGGGATGCTGAGCCTTGAATGAGGGTCCCATAATCTATTGCCTCACCAAGTTACTGAGCTGCCCCTAGAGCTGCCCCTTGCCTCAGAGAAATCTTCCCTGCTTACTCTGCCAAAAGGCCGGCACAGGGCTAGTGAGGTGGCTCAGTGGGTTAGGGTGCTTGCTGCCAAGATGGACCAACATTTGATCTCAGGATCAAAATGGTGGAGGGGGAGAACTGGCCCACCCAAGGTGTCCTCTGACCTCACTTCAAGAGCATACCATGGTGCGTGTGCATGGCTCATGCCTGTGCATGCAAACACATACACACACACACAAACATATATATATGTTTGTGTGTGTGTGTGTGTGTGTATATAT